ACGATTAGTAGATTTGTGGTAGAAATTAAATAGGTAAAGTAGAAAAGGATCAAACCACGAACAGATTATAGAAGAGAAATAGAAAAAAATGTTTTCAATTTGTTATTCTTGCACAATCCCTCTTTAATTTAATGTTGTTGAAATGAAGTAACTGGGTGAGATTGTCGCGCAGAAAAGCTGTAGAATTCCAATCACTGGAGAAATTTGGGAGCTTTTGAATAGGAACGATGGAAAGGTGTAGGAGGTGTAAAAAACGAGCAAGGCGTAAGGACCAGATCACCCTTTACGAAACGATTGAGAGGAATCGCGTTACTTGGCTAGCTACACTCGAAAAAGCTCAAAAGGTCGTAACAAAACACTGTTGTAGATCTAGCTATGCTCGGGTGAGAATGAAACGTCTCTTGTGTACGTCCTGAGTTTTTATGGAACACCCCGCAATGATTAGATGTGCAAATTCGATTCGCTATTACACACAGAACACAATGGTTGCTCAAAAATCCTCAGCAAGGGAACCGGTAGAAGGAGGACGTGAAACAAAACCACTGAGGGGCCTAGAAAATCCTTAGTGATATTCGAATATTTTCAGCCCACAGTGACCCTGATTACCGTAATCCCAATCAGAAGCATAAAAATGTTTCACAGTGGCCAATGAGTAGTGCGAACTAGCACAATGGAAGAGAGTTTAATGACCTCTAGCAATAGAGGCTAAACAAAGAGCTGCTGAACGACCTTGTTGATCGGGATCAGAAAAAAACAATGTTCTAGATGTTGATAATGAAAGGCATTACTGTAACGGATAAAAACCTGTCCTTGCAAGCCACAATAAAGAGCCACCCACATGTGCGTACAGCACTTGAACTGTTCGGGAACCGATTCAGGAGCAGGAGGAAATCGGCTTCTGGACTTTCTGTGGCTTTCTGTGCCCCACTAAGGAAGTTAGAAAAGCCGGGAAATGAGCTGATATGGACATTTGGGCGTCGTTTTTAATCATAAGCATATACGCGGTTCACCTTTAGCTTTATTATGGCCTAGAACTCCTTCATACAAGCAATGCCAGCTGACTTTTTTTTGAGAACTGCAAGGAAGTTAAATCGCAAAATGACTTAGGGAGCCACAGTGACCTAAGAGATCAGCCATCGTTAATATCAGAGCTTAAATCTACCACATTACTCGACAAACGTTCCTTGACAAGATAAATTTCTTTCGGAAGTCAATATATCCACCCTTCAAAGCGGATTGATTAGTAACGCAGCTGTCTGAAGCATAAAAAAACTGAACTAAACGTCGAATTATTCACTCACTTTATTGTAAGAGCTTAGTGAGTGTGTCGGGTTTTCATAGCATTGAATTTGAATAGCGGCACGAAAAATAGTTCCTCACCACTCCATTTTTTTATCTCAATCCCCAAACCTCTTGATTAGGGGTTCCCCTCAAAATAGAACGTTAGAATACCTCTTTTTGAATGGATGCACTCCATAAGCATTTCGAAACAGCTAGCGTCTTGTTTCATTATTTATGGAACTTAACTCTGAATAACAAGTAGTAAACAATCTTGCCATATAGGGCTGTTGCACTCTCAACAAATTAATAACCTAAGACTTCTACAAAAAGAAAACACTGTGCGATCGCAAATTAAGTACAGTAACATAACAATGAAGATCTATGAAAGCACAATATTCTACCAAAAAAATATGTATATATCCTAAAGATTACTTATCTAAGAACTATGTTGTTCAGTAACTTTCATTTGCGTGGCCGAAAAACGCGGCGTAAACGACGCCGGTCCAACATTCCAAGCTTCCACCTGAATCAAAGATTATTGGCTATTTCGGTAGAGAAGAAAACTGTTTCGGCAATAAAAGTGGCTTACCTTCACAGGTATCTCTTTGCCATAAAGATCTAGCAAAACTTGTGGATCAACTTCATCGTAGACTGATGTACTCTTCTTGGTGGGTTCCTCCTATGGAATTAGCAATTGAGAAAAAGAATATTACATTGGGAAAATCAACGTGAGAACCAAGGCCTACCTGTTTGATAAATGGGGTCAACATAGAAAATTCTGGATCAATGCACAGTTGAAGGGGAGCTCTCGTCTGTTCTTCTCGGAAAGGCACGCCAGCCTTCTCACAAGCCTTTTTAGCCAGTAAATTCTGTAAAGGAAATGATAGAATCATTAAGTGAAGGTAGCTTTTGGCGGTAAGAGCTATCTAGCTAGCTTATCGTAATTCAACGTGAAAAAGGTAATCAGTGTCCGGAAAACGACTGTTATAATTTTCAACAAAATTTCCAGGCAATGTATTTTCATTGATAAAAGGAAAAGATAATTAAAGAAATACAACAGTTTCAATTTATTATTTTTTGTAAAAGTCTTACTAGAGTTTGTTCTCGATCTTCTTTTTTCTCAGCTTCTCCAATATTCGACTGAGACCAAAATGTAGAAGACATTGACTTCTATTGTACGTCATACTTCAGTCACAAAACTTGTTGAACATTGCCTTTCGGGCTGCATTCTGCTTACCCATCTCCACATGTATCCATCACTTTTTACTTGTGAATATGAGTTAACGCTACTCGCCCTTGTTTTGTTTCCGGCTCCAACCTCGAAATGTGCATCTTCCCACTTTGTTTAATTATTGGTCGTTTGTTTTCACTCTTCCCGTCATGTTTCACCTTTCTATTCTATATTTTCTTAAAGTTTCAAGTTATTCCAAATCAGTTCCCTTCTATGTTTTCAGTTCATTTGCATCGCGATCACGAATTTTTTCCCACCATAAAAAAATGAGAATGCTCAGCGGAGTGATATATTTTATTTTGCCTAACACAACGACAGTCGCAAAATGAAAGGTGATCAACGTTTAGGCCAATTCCTGCTACAAGCTAAGAACATTTCCGTCAACCTTTTAACTAAGTTACGATGAAACTTGACAAATATCGCATATACACTTCAATGGATTGAAGAATGAGAGATAAGATTACCGAGATTTTTAGGAAATATAAAAAAAACTCGCACGGATCACGTCATAAGGCAACTCTCACCTGTAATGGGGGAATAGGAAATGATTTTGGTAGAGTGATGTCGCCCATAGCTTCCTTGCCTTCCATTAGCTCCTGTTCCTCATGTCTGTAATTAGTGAATACACCGAGATATTTCAGAAAAAAAAAAAAAGATTTGATTGCCTATAATCATTAACAATACTGATGTGAGAGGAGCATAGATAGCTACATACTTATGGACCAATCGCCAGTCGGAACGATTTAGATCATCAGCAAATTCATAAATCCCCAGATTTCGTCCTCGATAGGTCCACTCTCCCCATACCTTACCACCAAACAACCATCTGTCCATCGCAGGTTGGGCCTTCAATCAAGTTAGCAATTTACATAATTCCAAATTCGTTTTCTTTCATAGCTAAAATGCTTTACCCGAATGATTTTGATGTAAGAAGGCTGTGTAGGCCATTTTCGAGCCCATTCATTCTTCGTGACAATCCTTCCAACTCCAAGCTGAAATTGCAACCGACATCATGTTTTGATATATCCAGTGGTTATCGAATTCGATATTAGGGTAGGATGAATAAAGGAACAGAGTACACGTGGCACTTATTCAACGACTTTTTTTTGAAAATACAGGGTGCGCCATAAGTATGGTAACAAAAGAA